CCCCAAACCCCGAGCAAAGCAAAGCAAAGAGAGAGAGAGAGAGAGAGAGAGAGAGCACGAGAGACAGAAAGAGATGAAGAGATAAAGAGAGAGTGATGGAGAGATATCCCGACAGGCAGAGGGACCCAAACACCGAGCAAGCAAGCAAGCAAGACAAAGATACATTTTTCCCTCCCATTAGGCCCGCAGCAGGAGCTTTCGGGCTTAATGCCCGGGGGGCCTGACCGACCAGCCTTTTTTAACCCTGGGAGAAGAAGAGATAAAGAGAGAGAGAGAGAGGGAGATATACATATGTATATCTATATATATATATATAGAAAAAAAGAAAGAACGAAAGAGAGAGAGAATGCGAGTGATACATGTCAATTCAAACTTAAAAGGAGATAGGTGATTGAACATCCCATGACCCCTTCACCCCGGAAGCCTGGAAGGTTCTCGAAACGGACAGCGCGACACTGCCCGTCGGTTCGCGTGTGAGTTGCCCAGAGTCTTGGTTCATCGAAGCGCTTGGCATCTATATATATATATATATATGAAAGAAAAAATCAAGAACGATGGGAGCTCTAATGAGGGCCGCTTCTTATAGAAATAAAGAGCCGGTATGTAGAATTGGGGGCTGAGCAAGGGATCAGGAATTCAGTTGCAAGCTTTCTGTGGAGCTTTCCCGATTACAGCAAGGATGCAAGAATGTGCTGTGATGTTATCTTACTCATGTCATTGTGTTTAGCCTTCAATCTGTGAGTTGAATCATGAGATGCTGGTTAGCCGTTGCGACAAGAGTGTGGGGGTATATGTACGTTGCGAGCACTGTACGGGAATATGTTCAGCATGCAGCAATGCAGAAGATGCAGTAATGGTGCATAGATGGCCAGATATCATACCGCTGCGTAGGACAATGTCTCGGCTTAGGTCTTAGTGGTACATTACTTTTTCGCATGCGTGTATTTGTGTACCTATGCCTGCATCAACGCCTGCATTGCTTTTGTACATCGCCCGTGCGCATGCATCACCGGCGCCTCGCTGCCGGCTTGCATGTATCATATTGTACTGTCAAAAACTTATGTGCGTCTCCTTGGGTATGCGCACCCAGAAACATGGCCGTTGGACCTGCAAAAACGACCCCGATGGTTGCCCTGCACCTCATTCCCAAAACTCGACATCCCAGGAGCCTTCCAGCCTCAGTCTTGACAACAAGAAGGGCAATGAGAGCCTGCTCCCGAGAATGCGTATATTGAGACGAGGACTAGTACTAGTGACGAGTAGTACTCGTACTAGTTCTAGTACTACTAGTACTACTGGTACTACTACTGGTACTACTACTACTACTACTACTACTACTACTACTACTACTACTACTACTACTACATACTACTACTGCTACTACTACTGCTACTACTACTGCTACTGCTACTGCCACCGCCACTGCCACGGCCACTGCCACTGCTACTACTACTGCTACTACTGCTGCTACTACTACTACTACTACTACTACTGCTGCTGCTGCTGCTGCTACTACTACTACTACTGCTACTAGTACTAGTACTACTAGTACGACTTCTGGTACTTGGGCCTCCCCTGCAAGCCCCGAAGCACACCCAGATCTCAATATCGAAGATCTAGATGCGATTTGGCGTCGCTCCTGATCTCGCTGCCGCTGCTGCTTCTAATATGCTCTTGACGACTACACAGGCGACGACTACTATGACGACGACCAGCACAACAACGACTACCCCGCACTACTGCTACTGCTACTGCTGCCGATTCTGCTGACTACTAGACTTCTGCAACTTCCGTGAGGCCAGACTCGGTTAAGTGCGGACTCCCTCGCCTTCCATGCCTGGTCATACGGTGCAGAGCCTCCGCAGCCCGCAGCGTCGCAGAGCCAAATCTGCAAGGGCAAAGAAAGATGCGGATTCCTTTAAAGTTGCCCTAGGTCCAAAACAGTTCGGGTTTACGGCTGCTAGTGTACCAGAGGGTGGCTCGCGGGGGCGGGGGGTGGTTCCTGTATGGGTTTCAGGACACCAAATCGCCTGAAGGCCGAGACAAGCCATCAGCTGAGGAACTTCAAGGGGATCGAGGTACTCTTCGACCCGGACACTCTTGCTCCTGGGAACGGCTCTCGTAATTCTGTGCGTTGAGTTTTTAAGCTTCTTTGCCAGTTTGTTGTCATCAGGGGATCTTCCCAAGAACCACAGTTCTGCAGAATTGCTACTCATGCCTTCAAGCTTGCTAGAACATAGATTGCTAAACACCTCATTCTTCAACACTAAACCAACGACGTGGAACCCGTCCTGTTCACAAGATGTGGTTGTCAGATATTGGAGAAGGGAACTGCTAGAACTAGCCCACGAAGCCCTACATCCGACACCTGAAGCCCCAAACCGCTTCACCCGAGGATCTCAAAACCATCAGCCTCCACTTCAGCCAATCCGCCAGCCGCCACCGCGCGAAAGTCTCGTTGAAGGAGTGCATCGTGCCAGGCCAGGGAGTAGGATCCATCCGCTGAGTAGAACCCGAAACGTAGAACGAGAAGACGAAGTAGGAGTGACACGCCACTGTTGCAAGGAATGCAGGTAGCGACAACAGCAAGCAGCTTTCGGTTTCTTTTGGCGTTTCCGGCCTTGCCGCGGGAAATATCTTCCTGGTTGGTCTGAGTATCTCGCCTCCTTGAACCTCTCCGCTTCAGCCTTTGAGCGTGCAGAACTGCCCAGATCTGAGGCGTTTGGGATCAGTTTTCGGACTGGCTGCACACGTCCACAGTCGCAAGGCGGCGCGGCACAGCTTTAGAATCCGCCAGTAATGGCTTGGGCTCTCCACGCTCCGGGGTCGACTGGATGGGTACTGCAGCAATCGTATCCTTTATGCCATGATAGACAACCGACATCACGAGCATCAGTGGGCAAAAAGGGTGCATGCATGCATGCATAGAATGTATGCAGGCGGGCTGGTCGCTTGGTTGGTTGATGGGTTGTATGTCGGTGTGCTTCTCTGTTTGTTCATTTGCCTGTTTGCAAGGCTGTGTGCGTAAACGCGTTCAAGTCTTGCACATGCGAGTGTGTGTGTGTGTGTGTGTGTCTGCGTGTCTACACGAGTGTTTGTACAGACAGAGCTGTCTCTACGTGTTTGCCAGCTTGTATTATGAATGCCCGCATGGATGCATGTGCTCTGTGTGTGTGTTCACAAAAAACTGTGTCAGTTAGTCGATGTGTGAACATGTCAATGTGTATGTTGGTGCATGTGTGTTTGTGGGGTTCTAGATTTGCGTCAAGGAACAAGGCCTGGGTTAAGGTGCCGCTTCAGAGTGAGTGAGTAGCGTTGCACAGAGAAAAGAGTTGTTCGTTGCCCTCGGTGTGGCTTCCATCTGCACCGCAAGGTCTGGAACGCCGGCTCCCCCGATCACACCTTTCGTTTGCCCGAAGCTGGTATCATCTGTCTTCGCAGCCAGGCTCGGGCCAGGGTGGCAAACTCGCATCCCTGGAATCAAATAGTTCCTCAACTAGGTACCCGAGTTGTACCCTTACGCCATGCCCATTTCGATATTCGGTTCTTCCTTGATTAAGGCAGTGATAGAACTGCATGAGACAGTACATGTTTTACTAGCAACAAGTAACTGGGAAACTTAGTCGAGACTTCTCACAGAATCACGGCATAGGTCGGCCGAGCTCAAGCGGATCAAGTCGAAGGCGTGCACGCTTCTGTTTGATCTTTGTCTGGGCTTGCTGTCCGTGGTACGTTGTTCCTGCTTCAGAACTCACAGGGATACCAGCGGTCGTACTGTCAATCGATCATCATCATCGTCAACATCGCTTCACCATCACCATGCCGTTCGTCGCAATGGCCAGTCGTCGCCGTCATCATCGCCATCATCATCATCATCATCATCATCAGCATCATCGTCCTCGTCGTCGTCGCCATCAACATCTGCATCGCTGATATATTCACGGTTATGCAGTGTTCTTGTCCATGTCGTCGCGCGTCGGCATCGTCGTCGTCGCCGTCGTCGTCCAGTACCAAGCACCTAATGGACCTAATGCACATCATGACAGCTTTGCGACAGTGGGCAGCAGCAATCCTGGCGATGGCGGCTGCAATCAACACATCCGTTGTGTCACGCATTGTGCTTTCGAAAAGAACTTTTATGCTTGCTGGCGTGGTGACGATGATTGTGGTGTCGACCACGGCTATGATGCCCATGGTGATATTGCTGGTGCCAACAGTGATGAAAATGCTCAGCAACACTGCGATCCACAAAGAATCAGCCACGCACGCCGGAACAGTTGTGATGTCGCCATTTAGCCTCGTGGTTGCTAATGTGGTTGATGACGCTGACTCCCACAGACGATGATCGTGTTGATGTTGATGATACTGAGGATGATGATGCTGGTGATGACCGGCATTGATGACTCTAAGACTATGATGGTTGTGATGGCCTTCTGGTGCTCGCGATGCTGTTTGTTTGGCAGCTGTCGTCATCGATATCGGTCTTGAGACATCGGTATTTGCTTCAAACTGTAAGTACTAGTAGCAGTAGTACTAGCAGTAGTA